CTGTTGTAAAGGTCACAGTGTAAGCACACCGAGTCCAAAAAGCCTTAGGAATGCAACCAAAATGAATTATGTCTGGACTTCGTAATCAGAGGACCACCTCAAAGACATTAAAAATAAATGACAAATACAAAAAAAGCGTTGTTTATTAATTAGGAAGATGTTTATCTTGTGAAAATACAAGTAATTTATTTGGAATCTAGTGAAAAACCCTAAAATCCAGCAGAAGGGGGGCCAGTAATTGGCCAATTTCCTGCATACTTTTTTTTTTCTTTTTCACACGCATCAATTGAATGCATCAATGTCAGAAGGGCAACTTAGCAAAAATGGGTTGAAGGTATAGACTCTCTTTCCTGTAGCCACTTTAAGGCTTTTACAAGGATAGCACAGGACAGGGCGGGTCAGCAAGACAATCGATTCAGTCCAGGAGACGGCTGCTGCATTAAAAGACAGGCCTCTGCATTGCAGATGGCACATCTGTACCATTACAGGAACCTATAGCCCAGAGTGAAGGACGTAATAATGGATAACAGAAATTATACAGAAGCAAGGTAAAAAAAAAAAAAAGAAAGAAAAAGAAAAAAAAACTACTATACAAGTTTTACAAGAGAGAAACAAGCAAACAATGGACATCTGCACATCCTCCTCATATGTGCTCATGCAATGACATCATTCCCAGCTCATCTTCCATAAAAAGCTTGAAGAGTCTGCATATTGACCCTCTTCAGTCCACTGCAGTGACATATGAAAGGCACACTGAATAATTGATCACAGCCACCCTGATAGGTCTGCAGGCTCGCATGATACATATGACCTACTGCAGGTACCACCGGAAGGCAGCCAGCAACACCAGCAGCAGATAATAAAATCATTCCTGACCTCGACCAGGTTTTATTACGTCACAGTCACCTTATGAGTAGCATCTCAATGAGTTGCCTTCAAATGTTTTTCCAACCCAAAGATTAGAAAGCAAACAATGGAGGATAAAACAAAAGGGCTCCTGCAATGAAATTTCTCCCAGTCAGATTAGACCACACTGATTGGCTAAAGCGCAGCAGTGGGATACTACAGGGTACATTGCAATCACAGAGGTTTATAACTGGTAAAGAAAAATGCTAAGGACATTTGAAAGAAATAAATATTTTTTGTTGCAGGGAGACATTTGGTTGTGTCTTTCCAGGCTTAGAGAAAAAAATATATAAATAAAAAACATATGGCGTATTTTCTGGACTATAAGCCGCTACTTTTTCCCCACACTTTTAATCATGCAGCTTATAAGAAAGTGCAGCTTTTCTTTTGATTCTTCCGAACAACTAGAGGTAGAAGTCAAAGTTAGAAATGAAAGAATAAAGGGCTATTTTCATTTACCACAAGAACATGCAAGCAGCAGGCACAAAGGAGAATAAACACCCCGAATTCACACTTTTTGACATTTATTTGCAGCAATAAAGCTGCCAAACTGGGCTCAACTCCCATAGAGCTGAAATAAAGAGCTGACGAAGCCCCAATTTTCAGTAGAAGCTTATACTGCTTGTCACTACCCGATCTGTCCCGGAAGCAGGGTCCGTATCATTGGCTGATTTGCACATGCGTAACCACATGAACATCCAAGTCGCCCTATATTTTATTTTGTAAAAAAGAATTAAATTACATTTTGTCCCTCCCCAGAAATAGTAAGCATACTAAACTATAATGTGTTAAAGGTTAATAATGCATTTCCTGAGGAAATAAATGCCTTAAAATCCTTTCTGTTTTATCACTCACCTGTGCCCGATCTGCACCAAAAATGGAATCCTACGCTACTTCTGGGAGCTAACTTTTCCGACTTTGGATTTAAACATAAATCTAGTCTTTTTGATTTTACATTTCCCTTTTTCTGTTAACATTATGGTATACAGTATAGTGTGTGACCTAAAGAAAGTAACAACTAAAATGTAGATAAACCTGGTTTAATCATAGTTTGCATGAGTACTCTAAGCATTTCCGATTTGCAGACTGAAGAGGTCAATATTAAGCTCTAAAGAATTCCTTCATTCAGGTACCAAAGTATCTGGTAGGATTTAAGGTTGCTTGGCCAAGTTGGGAACATTCTAGAGGAAGCTCTTCCAACTGGATTAAGAAGACCATGCAATAGCAGTTGGCCGTCCAAATAATATATGACTGCAATGGAGGGTAGTCTGCAAGAATGTGAGCCATGAGATGAACTTAAAACCATTGAAATTCTTGTATTTCTATTTTAAAATTCCTACATTTATTTCTCACCAATTTCTGTTCTTGTAGAACTGTGTCTAAATAAAAATTGTATTTTGTCCAGAATGTTAGAATTCTTTACAGTCTATATGAAGAGTGGTTAAAAAAAGGAACATTTAGCTACAGCTAGCTGTTGTGCTGGTGCACCTCACGGAAAAAGTTAGGAAAACCAATACAATCAGAGAAAAACACTAGTCTACATCCATGATAGAATAGAAATAAAAGACATCCTTTATTGTTTTATTAATCTGGGAAATTTAGTCATCCGAGCAGGAAATGGATTACTAAATGGATAAATTAAGAAAATTAAATAAGAGTGAGTCACTGTACAGTTAGGGAAAATTTAAAACAAAAAAATAATATGAAAAGTTTTTACAAATAACTTTCTCTGGTATAAGAAATTATGTAACTGAGTAGCGTAATTTATAAAAATGCACAAATGTACACATATCTGTTAATGAAAATAAACCATTTACATCGAATAGAACAACAGAAACAACAGGGTTCAAGCATGAGATGGGAGACACTTTGCAGCAGTGGTTTTATTTTTATTTTTTTAGTTTTTGTCTGTCTCTAAGCATCTACATTTCTAGGATACAAATTCCAATAAATGGTGGTGGATAAACAAGTATGGATGGTTTGGGTCATACGTTTATGGGAGTACTATTTTATGGATCAGGAGCTGAAAAATCTTGGAACCACTGTTCCAGGTCACTGATGGTTTTTCTGATGAGCATATCCAACCAATGGTTGAAGGATGAAGAGTAATAGTTGATACTAGGGACAGGAGCCCTTATAAGTTAGAAATTGGATTTTAGGGAATATGTTTCTCATTAAATTTCATATATATAGTCCAATAAGCAGAGATACACACAGCTATCAACTTGCTGAGCTAAAAGTAGTTGCCCCAAGAAGTGTTCAGAACCACATGCTGCTATACTTCTGAACATCCTGGAGATTATGAAAGAATTAAAATTCCTTATTTGTGAATATAAGTGTTCTAAAATAAGTGTTCCCTTTAATGTTTAAGAAATGTTCAGTAAGGCTTCTGCACCATTTGATAGGTATGTTGGTTCACAGATTAGGGTACTTTTTTTTTAGAATTATTTTTATGCAAAAATTTAAAATCAATATTTTATTTTATCAAAATTTAGTATTTTTTTTTTATGTATTACTTTTATAGGTTTTGTGTTACTAGTATTTGAATTACTAGTGTGAATTCATAATTTTTCCTAATGGGAGGGTATGTAGCCAGAAAGGTTATAAAACTGATCACTATTTACAACATTTAAAATATATCATATTAAAAGCAATTTTCATCCACCTTCATTTAAAACTTTTACAAGACAAAAGACAGAAAAAATGCATTTATTCTCATTAGGTGACCGACTGAATACTTTTTTTTCTGTAGTTAAAAATTATAATTTTTACCAATCGGTAACATATCTATGGAAGATGGAAAATATGGTCTTTAATTTAACCTTAAAAAATATTTAGAAAAAAGGTACATTTTAATAACCTGACAACAGCCAGATGCATGTCTCGCTCCGCCTAGCTCCACTCACATACATCTGGGAACC